GCGCCCTTCGCCAGGGGGTATTCATACTAAATCGCTTTTTGTTCACCGTATTGTGACAAGCGGGCACCCAGTGTATGCAAGACTTCGACAGAATTCGAGACGCTTTTAAAACTGGGAATCTGTCGACCATCCAGTAGCAACTGGGCCAGCCCCTTACACCTGGTGCGCAACGGCTCGTGGGGGCCTTGCGGTGTCTACCGTGCGTTAAACGTGATAACAGTTCCAGATCGTTATCCGCTTCCATTTTTGCAGGACTTCTCCAGTATTCTTGCCGGAAAGTCTGTACCTCCAGAAAGCCTTCCATCAAGTCCCGATTCATCCCGACGACATATGTAAGACCGCAGTTACGACGCCGTTCGGCCTCTGAGTTTACGCAAATGACTTTTGGGATCAGAAACGCTGCGCAAACTTTTCAAAGGATGATCAACGAAGTTTTCAGAGGCCTCAATTTTGTGTTCACATATCTCGACGATGTCTGCGTGACCTCAACGAACATCGATGAACATAAAGAACACCTGAAACAGGTACTTCAGCGCTTAAGGGACCACAGCCTTACGATAAACGCCGAAATATCGAAGTTTGGTGTAAACGAGATGCAGTTTCTAGGCGCCTGCGCGCGTGGAGGCAATGCTTAATTTTCATCGTCCCAAAGTTGCGAAGGATTTATTACGTTTTCTCGTGATGCTGAATTTTTATCGGCGGTTTTTGCCACGAGCACTCGAACATTAAGCGAATCTTTTTGATATGGTCAAAGGCAATAAACGTAACAACAATACTCCGCTAGTGTGAAAGCCTGTAAACAACAACTTGCGGACTACGCTATGTTGGCTCATCCGCTTCCAAATGCAGAGCTCTCTCTGTGGGTTGATGCTTCGAACTTTGCTGCTGGCGCCGTCCTCAATCAAGTTGTCGATTGTGGTCTCCAGCCGCTAGGACTCTTTTTGCGAAGATTTTCAAAAGCGGAAAGCCGATACAGTACATATGACCGAGAGCTCACAGCGCTGTGTCTTTTGCCACTCGTCATTTCAGATACATACTTGAGGATAGGTGCTGTCACATATACACGGACCACAAGCCGCTCATCTATGCGTTTCGGCAACGACTTGACAAAGCGTCAGATCGGCAAGTGAGACAGCTCGATTTTGTTTCTCAAATCACCACTGATATACGCCACGTCAAAGGCACCGGATTTGTTCTCCCGTACAGTTGCAGTCGACATCACGCCAATAAACTACGAGCAACTCGCTGACGATCAGGAGGTTGACGAGGAGAGACAATCTTTACTTGCCGGTAAAATTAATCATCCTTTGAAGTTAACTTTTCCTTCTAGTTCTAAGAAAGTCTACTGCGACACTTCAACTAAGCATATTAGACTCTTCAGAACTAAAAAGTATCGATGCTCATTCCTTCATTCCATTCATGACATGTCGCACCCTGGTACAAGAGCTACAGTGAAGCTGATGACAGAGCGCTTTGTTTGGCCTGGCATACAACGTGACAGCCGAAATTTCGCCCGAAACTGCATTAAGTGCCAGAAAAACAAAACTATCAGGCATAACCGAACACTCTTAGAAAGAAGGGAACCACCCAAGCAACGTTTTTCGCATATCTATATTGATCTGGTCGGGCCATTTCCACTGTCAGACGGCAATCGTTATTGCCTAACGATTGTAGATCGATTTACGCGTTGGCCTGATGCGTTGCCGATTCCAGACCGCACAGTTCCAATTGTCGCAAAGACGCTGCTAAACGGCTGGATATCTCGGTTTGGCGTGTCGCTTGGCATCACGTCTGACCTCGGGCGCCAATTTGAAAGTGCGCTTTTTAAACAACTAATGCAATTCCTCGGTATTTCCCACCTTTGTACAACACCATAATACCCTCAAACAAATGGATTGGTAGAGAGGTGTCACCGCACGTTCAAAGCTGCCATTCTATGTCACGATGCCACCCAATGGACTTCATACCTGCCGCTGATTTTACTGGGCTTACGTTTCGCATTTAAAGAAGACGTAGACGCAACTCCAGCTGAGCTAGTCTACGGCGAAAATCTTCGCTTACGAGCAGAATTCTTCATCGATGTGCCAACAGCGAAGACAGAAATTGAAGACTTGCGTCAACTCCGTTCCATGATGAGACAACTATGTCCGGTAGACACTGCCTGGCATACTCAAGAAAAGCCGTTTATTCATTCCAGCTTAAAATCATGCGACCATATTTTCATCAGAGACTATTCTGTTCGGCCATCATTGTCCCGTATAAAGGACCATTCAGAGTGCTTCAACGCAAACCTAAAGTCATAGTCAACGACAAAGAAGTTAAAGTTCCTGTCAATCGCCTTCAGCCAGCTTTTACCGCTGTCGTGAGCCGAATCTAGGAATGCAGTAATGTGGAGCATTTCCACTAGAAATCATTTCTTTACTTAAATAATTACATTAGTACGCGTAAATGCACCTCTGTACACTCATTTCAGTTTCATATTCTCTATTCCATTCTATTCTATTGTTATGTAGTTGTAATATTTTCTTGAACTTGCTTTGTATTAATGGAGAAATAATAAACAGTGTGATCATAGAACTCGTGGTTATCACATCGTAACCGCTTATATATATTTATATATATATATATATATATATATATCCGTAAGGTTCTCGAAAACGGCTAACGATTTTTGAAATTTTTTATACAGATAATGTTTTGCATTTTAAGGTTATCTAATAAGGTATTATCTCCGGGAAGACTGGTATATTTTAATAGGGTTGCCGTCTATTTTGAAACGCATATTTATTATTGTTATCATGGGTACCAAGATAAGGTTACCATTTTGCTCTATAAAACAGTCTATAAAACCCTTATAAGACTAAAACGCGGGGCTTCGTAGTACAAAATAATGCTGTTATTAGTTTATAAATCGTATGTTGGTGGTTTTATAAAGATCTTAAAGTAGTCTATAACATGAGTTTATAAAACATTTAAAAGTTTTATAAGGCTATTTGTGTAGAGTCGTTGGTCTGACACTGATTAACCCTCTAGTAAGCAATTTTTTTATGAGTTGAAAAATTCAGGAATGGGTGATTTTAGCACGAGAAATCCAAAACTGATGTCCATTTCGATCTGTGACAGTAACTTTTTCCTACAGGGGGAAAAACCAAGACCGTCTGGAGACGGGCTCGCCGATATACTTACACATATTTTCAGCTTTCTCTTACACAATATCGACCTACGAACCAATGCAATGCAAACTGGGTTCTTATATGTCGGCAAGACGGTCTGTAGACGGTCTGTGTTCGAAAGCAATTTTCTCCACTTCGAATGGTGACATAATTATAAAACTTATATTAAAATACGGTCCTTTTAACTACGAAATCCACCGAATTTTTTTATAGTAAAAAATTTTTCAAAAGAAAAAATTTCTTTAATATGAAATTACTAAAGATTCACTCTGTGAAGCTCTTTGCAAATTGAAAAGTATAAATAATAAATTGAAAGGTAAAATAGTATGCTAAAATATCTTTCGATGGAAAAGTAGTTCTGAACTGAAATAGTTTTCTCTTCCAGAAACATTTTGTGAAAGGATATGTACATACATATGTCAATTGAATAATAATTAAGGACTTTGTATAATTTTTTTTTGCATTTCTCCTGAATGTAATTTTATGAACGCAACGAGGTTTGCGGTAAAATCGGGCTCGCTACCCTTGCTAAAATTTATGCCGTTGCGAAATTCTTAATTTTTATTAAACTCATACAATAAAAATAAAATCTTAAAATGTGGCTTTCAATATAATTAATAGAACAATGAATCATTTCCTGTCATGAAAATTCAGAAAAAGTTAAGAAAATTAAAATTTTAATTTTTTCACCTTTCAAACTTTTTTTCATTACCTAAAAATACACAAAAAATATGGCGTTACAGCAAGATGTCTATCCAAAGACACTTATAAAGTCAATTTGTCTATTTAAATCCAAAATAGTTTACGTGGAGCGCTTGAACATACTAATTCCTTTATGAATTGATCATATGTATACAAAACACGCAAATCTTAAATTTCCCATTTCAAAAGTGTCTACGCGAAGAGCCATGAATCGAGCATTTTCTCTGAGAATATAGAAAAGTCATACAAAATGCTCAAAACATAAATATACAATTCTTGAAAAAAAGTATACGTGAACTTCAAGTGACGCCGGACGTTCTGTGTTAAATTATCTACGAAAATCCGGAAAATCCCCCAATTACGCGCATATTTAATAAGCAAATCCCACGAAATTCTATAAGAATTCAAAACATATATTTCGATAATGTATATATAACTCATTTTCCTAAAATTCGGCTTTATACAAAGGTCGGTAGATAACTCACTAATGACCTAATAGAATTTAAAAACATCTACTACATCAATTAATTAGTTTCAATCTTTATTAAAACCCAGGATTTTGAAGAAATTCCCAACCTAAGAAATTTTGTTTTAATAAGGTTTTGTAACTAATCTTTAAAGGCACTAACATTTTAGATGGGGCCTTTCTATAATAAGGTAACGATATGAATATTCATAACGTGAGAACAATTTAAAAATTTTCATAAATTTTTAAAATATATAGTTTTACTCTACATCACATCATCACTAAGATCATCGAAAAACCTTAGTTGAATTTTGGTCAATTATGCATTGATAATTCTGAAGTCTTTTTTTTATATTAATGTCCTTTTTTCCTCTTTTAATAATTTTTGTTACAAAATATCTCTCAAATAGGGAAATTAGTCACAATCTGGCATCACCGGTGCGAATAGAGTATTTGCTTTTTAAACAGAGAATAATCAAAGAAACTCTCAAATTTAAACATCCAAATCCAAAAATGTCTGCGTAAAGAGCCTTGAATAAAGTATTTCTTATTTGAATAGCGAAACTTTATACTAAACCTTCAAATTTTAAATTTTCAAGTCTTAAAAAAGGTTACGTGAAGAGCATTAATATCTTTGTTTCTCTCTACGTTTCTTTTAGTGCAAAGTTTTGATCTACAAAACGTCATTTCGTTGGAAGTGAAGACTTTTTCTTCTTCTTCTTTTTTTATAAAAATAAGTCGAAGGAAATCTTTTAAAATTGGCCAATTTTGCAAAAATTTACGTCTTGGCATTGAAGCCTTACCAGAAGATTGGGAAGTTCCCAAACACAATGGTTCCAGAGATGGGATAACATATTAGTTGAAAAGCGGTAAGATGAAAAACATATTTTCAGTTAATTTTCATCATTCAATCCAAAAACGATATAGGCTTGAAAACAAAAATCATCTGTTCGAGAAATTCAAAGTGTGCAAAAGAGAAATTATCGCCACTGTAGAATTTAATTTTTCACACAATTTCGGTTTCTTTTTTTAACCAATTTGCAACACAGTTTTCCCAGGGCTCCATCTTTTTATGCGAACACGATTGAATAAAACGCCAGTAAGTAAATGTCAACACAGAAAAATTTATAGAGGTGTATAACTTCAAAAACAAAGTATATTTTTATCTAGCGAAATCACGAAGTGATATGACTGAAGAGCGTTGGCGATCTTTATGAAGACAAATCCTACTTCGAAAAGAGAATGCGAAATCGCTCTAAGTATGAAAGTTTATAGAGGTGTATAATTATGCTTATTGCTGACTAATTACTCAACAAAACAAAATGTTATTAATTGCTCTGAATGAAGACACTTAATAGAGATCTAAAAGTTTACATTAGTAGAGGATTTTTACTAATCATGAAATTGAAGAGAAAAGAGTATAGAGGAAGAAGCATATAAAAATATGTCTGCATGCAGAGCCTTATAAATGCTTTTTTGAATAAATTCTCTTTATTCAGAGCCTTATAAACCCTTATAAGAGCACAGACTATAAGAAGAGCCTTATAAAACCTTTATAAAGCCAGTCGTTCTCCAAACTTATAGTTGTGTGTTATCCGGGTATGGACATCAAATGAAAGGCATTGGTGAGAGCTTTGGTCCCAAAATATTTTCGAGCAGGGTTACAACGCTTCTATGCAATACAAATTTTTATTTTAATATTTTCAATCAGCATTTTTTGTATGCAGTACATATACGCTCAAGATGTGTACTATTCATCCCAGCGTATTTCTGAAAAGGGTTGCCATAAAGTTTTACGATAAGATATTTACTTACTTTATACGTACCAGAATCCAAATTTTTTTTCCAAAATATTTTTTTTAAGGCTATCAAAATGCCAGTATTTGTTATCAAAAACTTGAAAACTTTAAAAAGTTATGTACTGCGAGCAACGCTCGGTCAACCTGGTACTTTAGAATTATTAGTTGATGTACAGTGCTTCGCCTGTTCTTAATTTATAATCACAACATCTATAAAGGGCCGCTGTGGCTTAGTGGTTCGAGATGTGTACCAGGGATGTTGCGATTATTTGCATTCGCATCCGTTATACGAATGATTCGCATCATTTTACACAGTCGCATCGAAAAATCGCATACACAATAAACGATACCGAGTTTTTTGCGGATTCGAATGTGTACATGGGCAGAGCGCGCAGTTAACGACAACTAAATAAGCAGCGTAACTCACATACATACATATGTTAAAGGTTGTTTCAATTAACGTTTAGTATTTAGTACAGGCAAAATAACCCTTGTACGCTGCTGCATGTCATAGAAAATAGAAATACGTAGATGAATTTGGCCCTCAAATGTTTTTTGTTAACGTTCGCACTTTATCCTCTTTTTGTGATGACCTGTAAAATATTTCAGCGCTATTCATATTTTACGATTAATATTTACATATTTTAGTTAATTTTTGTACTTTATTTGTCGATAAGTGGGCATCTTTTCAGTGCAGCCGACCTTTTATGTAAATATACGAGCCTCTAAGAAATCGCCTGAATCGCAGCAAAATTACTTTTTCTGAAATGTAATATGCCCTTTTGAACTTTGACTACTAGTTTAAAAACTGTATAGGGTAAGCACTGGTTGAATTTATAATATTTTATAAAACGATGACTTAAGTTGATTATAGCTTTTTTATTTTTATTCCTAACATACGCATTCGCATTCGAATTCATGAATGGGAATAATATGACCTTCGAAACATCTCTAGTGTGTAGTACCACTCCGTAGTGCCTGGGTTCGTCCCTGGTCCGGGTAACATCTAAATAAGAAAAGTTTCTAACAGCGGTTGCCTCTAGGCATACAATGGCAAACCTCCTCTGCCAAGAAAAGGCTTCTCATACAATCCATTTGCCAATCGAAGGCGTAAAACTCTAGGTCCCTTTATTTTTATAACAGCATCAACACGCAACAACAAAATGTATACTTATATGATCAGAACGTCGAGCTGAGTCGATTTAACCATGCCCGTCTGCCTGACTGTCCGACTGTTTGTATAAAAGTGTTCGCACGAGGCGATTTTGCGTTCTACTTTTGCATTTAACTCACGCAGGGTTGCACGAAAAAAGAGTTCAATGGCTAAATGTTGGCTGGCGACCAACTTTGTTGAAAGCGATTAGTTGAATGGCCGTTCGACCAAAAGTAGGATGCAAAGTTGAACAATGCAAACGCCTTTTTATGGCGAATATTTTGATATTTTTAGCCATTCAATTTTTTTTTCGTGCAACCCTGCGTGAGTTGACCGCAAAAGTCGCCTAAAAAATCGCCTCGTGCGAAAGCCCCATATGCAGTCTAGTCTCTCAGTTTTCGAGATATCCGGAAGAAATTTGGTAGGAGGGTGTATTTTTATAATGTACTAGCAGACCCGGCGAACTTCGTCCCGCCCAAAATAAATTTTTTGTACACGCTCAAAAATTTGGGTTTAATTTTTAAACCTCGCTGGGACTACAGCAAGAGTTCACGTTCATGATTTTTAGTGACGCATTTGTCTTCTAACATTACGGTTTGGTGGTTGTCAGAACGCATATTTGCCGTCTTAAATAACTTAGCAAAACTGTACATGCATGATGACATACGTCATCTTTTCAAATAACCCCAATTTTCTCTAAGAACATGGGATTCATTTCATATATCTCTATACCATTTTCGAGTAATTTACCATGGTAGGTGCCACGTCCCTTTTTCCAATAGCCCCAACTCTTCTTCATGACCAATCGCATTTTATATATCTTGTACATACCAAGTTCCAGTACTCTTCCATGAACACATTCAGAGATATGCAGTATGAAAAATTCGATGTGTATGGGAAGTGCCACGCCTCCTTTTCCGATAACCACAATTTATCCCCATGAGTATGCGATTGCTTTCATATATCTCCATACCAAGTTCGAGACCTCTTCCATTAACATTTTCCGGGATATGCAGTATGAAAAATTCGGTTTGTATGGGATGTGCCTCGTAACGTTTCCAATAACCGCAATTTTTGTCCATGAATATGCAAATGTTTTCATATATCTCCATGCCATATTCGAGTAGTCTACCATGAACACTTCCAGAGATGTGCAATATGAAAAATTCGGTTTGTATGGAGGGGCCACGTTTAGGAAGAGTTCGATTTTTATATGTATATTAGATAAGCACGATGCGAGAAGCATAGAAAAGATTTCGATGAAAAAAAAAATATATTTCTCGGGTTCACAACTATCATATCTTTTAAGTAGGAACCAACAATACACACCCAAAAAATTTCATTGAAAGCGGTTAAGCGGTTTCGGAGATTAGCGTAAACGAACCCAGTGACATGGGATATTTATATATTAAGACCCTAATATAAGCACCTACCATAGATACATTTGCGTACCAAATTTCAGTTTGATTTGACTTATGGTTTTGAAATTGAAGCTGATAAAATTTTCCACGCCTATGGGATGTGCCACGCCCCCTTTTACAAACACATTTATATATAAGCACCTACCATTGATATATCTGCATACTAAATTTCAAGTTCGTGGGACTTATAGTTCCGAAGTTATAGCTGTTAAAAAATTCCATGCCTATTGGATGTGCCATGCACTCTTTTCCAAACTCATTTATATATACCCTAATATAAGTACGTACCATTAAAATGGCTGCGTACGAAATTTCAAGTTCAAGCTCCGTAGTTACAGTTGATAAAACATTCCAGGTCATAGGACGTGCCGGCTCCGCCTTTTAAAAACTCACTTATATATAGCCTACTTTAAGAACCTACTAAAGATACGTCTGCGTACCAAATTTCAATTTCACGTGACATATGATTCCGAATTTTCCACGCCATTTTCCACTCAGTTATATATGCCTTACTTAAAGCGCCTACCGTAGATATGCCTGCCCACCAAATTTCAAGTTCTTGGGACTTATGGTTCCCAAGTTATAGTTGATAAAAGGGTCCACGCCTGGATGTGCCACACCCATTTTTACAAACTCATGTATAAATAGCCTACTGTAAGCACCTACCGCAGATATGTCTGCATACCTAATTTCAACTTCATGTGACTGATGGTTGTGAAATTATAGATGTTAAAAATTTCCAGGCGTATGGGATGTGCCACGCCCCCTTTTACAAACCTTTTTATATATACTTTACTGTAAGCAGCTACCATAGTTATGTCTGCATACCAAATTTCAAGTTCATGTGGCTTGTAGTTACGGAGTTATAGCTGATAAAATATTCCTATGGGATGTGCCACGCCCACTTTTACAACCTCATTCATATATACCCTACTATAAGCACCTACCATATGTATGATTGAATAACAAATTTCAAGTTCATATGACTTATAGTTTCGGATTTATAGCTGATAAAATATTCCACGCCTATTGGATGTGCCACGCCCACTTCTACAAACTCATTTATTTATACCATACTATAAGCACCTACCATATATATGACTGTATACCAAATTTCAAGTTCATGTGACTTATGGTTCCGAAGTTATGATTGATAACAAATTTCCCGCCTATGGGATGTGCCACGCCCACTTTTACAAAGTCATTTATATACACTCTACTGTAAGCACCTACCATATATATGACTGCATACCAAATTTCAAGTTCATGTGACTTATAGTTTCGAAGTTATGGCTGATTAAAAATTTCACGCCTATGGGAGGTGCCACGCCCCCTTGTCGAATCCCAATTTTTTACCCTATTATAGGCCCAGGTGTCATGGCAATACTCTGTCAAAATTTTGTTCGATTCTGTCCATCGGTTTAGGCTGCAACCTGGCACATACATACATACATACATACTTCCACAAATATATAGTAGATATATCCTTCTCTTAGCATAAAATAATTTGTGGGGATGTCTCGGCCACAGGGCCACCTATCGTGTAAGTTTCAAGTCCAAATATTTCTTTTAAATTGGCTAAATTGTTTTCTAAATATGAGCCAAATCAGCAAGTAAATGCAATTTTTATGAATATCCCGACCCCAGCGCCACCTAGCGATTAAATTTTTAGTCGAAATATTTCCCTTCAAGGTGCTGAAATATGTTCCAAATATGAACAAAATCGGTCCAGCCGTTTAGTAGTTTGGTGACATTTAATGTACAGAAAACTCTATGAAATTGTGAATTCGTGACGTCTCAGCATTCTTCATTTTTCGGCAACAACAACAACAACAAATTTCAAATTTTTTTAAATCGAAAAACCTTCCACACAGAAGGTGCAAAACAGTACTTTTTACAGAATTGAAATCGGTTCAGCCGTGT